CTTCTCCACCACGCCGGGAGGTGAGCGCCGGCCAGCCCTCCGCCATGCCCCGGCTGCCGCATGGTCCTCTAACTCCGCGGCGTGTCCGCGCTCGGCTCTTCGCCCTCTCCCGGCTCCACCAAGGGCTCCGGGACCTGTCTTTGGGGGCCTAGCCTGCGCTTTCCTGACCCTTCACTCCTCGTTGTCTCTCGGCCTCAACTCGAGTCCGCGCGCGCCCGCTTGGGAACGTGGCTCCCGGGTCGGGCAAAGAAAGTCGGGGTTCCCGCCGCGTGGCAGGTTTATGCAGTCGGCCCGCTTTCTCTCCCATTTCCACTGCTTTCCCCGGTGGATTCGGCTACTCTGCGGCATTACACCCTGCATTGCCTCGACCTCTTGCAGGCTATTTGTGCACGTTAATGCTTAATTTTGGAGCTGTCCCCCGGACCTTTGTAGAAAGGAAGTTAGAGCAGTTTGCTCCTGGGACCTTGCAATGACTTGTTTTGCTGCTTTTAGAACGCCAGGAGGAGGTTGGAATGCGGAGTCTGGAAGCCTCGCCCAGCGTTATCCTGCTTTGACAGCATTGTTTACTTTGCTGGACGAGGCCCCACGGGTGGGGAGAGTCTCCAGGCCGGGAGGAGAGAGTGATAAAATAAAACTCAATATTATAGTATCCAAAGGAAAGGAGGTGAGAGTGTTAGAACTCTGGCAGTCTTAAGGTAGGATAGCAGCGGTGACTCCTTTGGAGTTGGATTAAAGGGGTTATTTCCAAGTGGGACACTCTTGTTGGGTGAGTTGCTTGATCCTGGTGCAGGGGCTTACCGAGCGAGGCAGTGCAAAGGGAGGTTCCTGAGCATTGCTTTGCAGAGTGCAACCGCGATCTGTTTACAAGTAACACCGGGGTAGGGGTGAAGCGAGTTGAACTGGTCACGGGAAAAGGAAGCTCAAAGGTTGTCTGTCTGCTGACTGGGCTTTTCTCCAGAGGGAGGCGACTGTAAAGCTTAGGGGGCCTTATCGAAGTGACGGGCCCTCTTTTTTAACTTAAGGTTGCCTTCTTTTGGTGATGGGGTGCCCTTTGGCTACAAGGTGAAGACTTCCCTGGCAGCCCCCAAGTGTGTGGGATTGCTCGCCTTTCCCAGTGGGTAAGCTCACCCTTGGTACTACCACCAGTGCAGTTAGGCCTGGGCCGTTTTTGAATTGCACAAGAGCCAGGCATGCAGACTAAGGAGACTGACTGCCTGGCCATCAGAAGAGATGAACATCTAGGAGAGAGCTTTACAGGGAATCCAGCCCCGCCAGGGTTGGAATGGCTGCCTGGGAGGACCTTAAAGTGACCCAGGCAGTTTAGCAGTTTAGCCGCGTGCTTGGAGAGCTGGGTTTAAGGAAGTGTTAACTTTGCAGCGCAATGGAATTCCTGATTCCTGACGTGGTGGCTTACCTCATTGAAGAAACCCTCCTCATCTGACCTTTTCAAAACTGGCCCATGTTAAGATGAAATCTTGCTTTATAATCATGTAAAGTTCTGGCAGGTCAAAATCTTCCATGGGCTAGCAGGTGGCATGGTGGTTAAGGCACCAGACACCCACGTGTCCAAGTGTGGTTCAAGTCCCAGACCAGGAAGCTTTCTTTCTCTCCCCCCCTTCTTCTGGTGAGCAAATTAAAAAAATAATAATGATTAATAAAATTAAATAATTCCTTTTTTTAAGAAAAATCTGTTCTACATAGAGGTGTCTTCAATATAAACTGATAGCTTTTAAGAAATGGATATTGTTTCCCAAGGTGATGGAAAGAGACTTGAATTATAACTTCTGCCAGAAATTTTTGTGGCGTTGGCCAGTAAATACTTGTGCTTGCAGCAGTTCAGAACACATATCACAATAACAACTGTACTTAACAGTGATTTATTTGGGGGAAGGAACTAAGCTTTTAGCTATATATTAATGGTTCCCTTAAGGGAAGAGCCACTGAGGGATACCTTTCTGGTCTATTTTAAACAGCCAAGCTATTATGCTTTTAAAATAAGGGCATAGTCTTTGAGCATTGCCTTAAAGATAGAAGTCTGTCTCATAGCCTGGATTAGTTCCTAAAATGCTTGGAAAGATTCTGCCAGAAGTACTGATTCATTTACCCTCCTCCCAGCACACATAACCACAACTGCTTTCTCGAATATCACTTAACCTGCCTACAGATCGTTTCTGTTCATGTAGTTTTTGTTCGTTTCAAATTTAAATACTTTGCTTCTCTGTGATAGTGAGTCTGTATTTATTGGTAAAGCCCATCATAATCTGTGGGGTTTTTGAGGACTAATTCAATATACTTACAAAGATACAGCACTGTTGCAATTGATTTGATCACTTGATAGTAATTAACTAAATACTGTGTAGGTGTTTACCTCATTGAAGAAACCCTCCTCATCTGATCTTTTCAAAACTGGCCCATGTTAATATGAAATCTTGCTTTATAATCATGTAAAGTTCTGGCAGGTCAAAATCTTCCACGGGCTAGCAGGTGGCATGGTGGTTAAGGTGTTCAGCACCTACTGATTAGATTTTTTTCCCTTGGAAATTTTCTGCCGTCTGCTGGTTTGTTCATCTCTCTTGGTACATTCCTCTCCCTCCCACCATGTAATTTTATTTCCCTGAACTGAGTGAGAGAGTTTATTGTTACTTGGTCAGTTCCAGATACCTGAATTAACGAAGTTGGATATTTTTAGTGGATTTTGTGGGCCCAGTGGGCCCATTTGCAGTGCTTGGATAACATACTGTTATTGGGCATGCAGTCCTTGCCGAAACTGGGCTTCACATCTTGATTTTGGAGAAGGGGGAGAACAAATAAGATTTTCGATTCTGGAACAGCATAATCAAGTGCTAACGTATACTTCAGACTTGAAAACTGGAGTCATTAGGCCAGTATGGGGAATCTCTAGAGGGAAAGGACAGGATAAGCGTTTCTTGCCTCAGACTTCTGGAAAGCTGGACAAGTGACACACATGTCAGCATTCCAGAATAACAGTTGATGCGCTGAATGCCCTAAATGATCAGACAGGGCAGGGACATTCACAACATAGTGAACCCGAGAGTACTTTATTAGGGTCAGAGGATCCAGCCTACCCTTAAGATTCCTCAACAGTTGCCTGTCTATGGTTTGGGAAATGAGAAGTGGATGAAAATACTCTTGCTGTACTCTCTTGGATTTCTTTTTAAAAATTATTTTATTTAACTTTATTTATTCATTTATTTATTTCAACTTGACCAGAGAGGGAGAGAGAGAGAGAGAGAGCAAGCTGCCAGGTCCAGAACTTGAACCATAGTCAGCCACGTGGGAGTCCAGCACCCTTAACCACCAAGCCGCCTGCCAGCCCCTCTCTTGGATTTCTCATATTGCTAGAAAAGTACCTTTTCCTGTTATTAAGAAAGAGGGAACTTTTTATTGAGTAAATTTCAACTCCTCCTCCCCCCAAAGCTTTGGATTTTGTTTTATTTTTTCCTATCTGCCAATGAAGGAGTAGGGATTCCATTTAGAAGCTACTCCTAGCTTCAATTGAAGGTAAGGTTACATACTTTTGTATCACTGGTAAGCAGGGAGGAACCTAATGCTTTCTCTTTTTTTTTTTGGAGAGGTTTTCGCTATAGGGCTTGTGCGCTCGCCAGACAGACAGAGACATAGAGACTGAAAGCGAGAAATCACCCCCCCCCAGGGGGGATGGTCACGCCACAATCCCTTCTCCTCCATTTTCCTCTCTGGATCTTGGGCACGCACGCACACGCGCCTGGCGTGAGTTTTAAGCCACCGGGTCTGGGACGCGAACCGCGGTCGACTATGTGAGAGTCCAGCGACATAGCCATTATGCTAACTGCTGGTTCCCCTAATGCTTTCATTTTATAATCAAGAGAAACTGAGCCTAGAGAATTTAGATAAATTGTTATTATCATATAGTTAATTGATGTCACTGGGTCTCCTCAAATTTAGTATCTTGGTTCCTATTACAGTTTTTTCTCCACTATCTTCAGGTGCTTATCTTAATAGGAACAAAAGACTTTTCCACCTCTGGGATGCCAGCTAATGTGATTTTGCTCGCTACCTTGTTTTCTAGGTTCTCTCTATCTCCTAGACGAGTTCTGTTTTGGGGAATGAGCAGAAACATAGAGACCCTTTATAGCCTTTTTTCCCTGCATAGCATCCTCATCAGCTGTGGGAAAGTATGCTGTTGCCCTAATAAGAGCAGAAGAAGGGAACCAACCGTGATGGTCTGGAATCTTGCTCATGCTGTAGCTCTTCCTCCCTGCCAGCTGGGTAGTTGCTGAGATTGGTTCACTAGGGCAGAACTTTCTGAAGGCTATTCATTGAAAAGGTCTAGAAATAAAGAAGACAGGAAGAAGGGAAAAATAATCCACTTGGAGTGAGTTATATGAAAATAAGACTACTTGGGGGAAGACCTGACTCTTACCTGGTTGCATTCTTAAGAGAAATGAATAGAACTCTGTGTGCAGATATGGGGAAGGAAGGCCAGTGTCTGGCTGTACCATTTCCAATTCCAACTTCGAGCTAAGTTTATTGTACGACAATAATTCCTGAACCAGCAGATGTACATATTTGGCTCTCTAACTTCAGATGGTAACCAAAGGACTTCATTATTGTGTGTGAGAAGCTGTGTGAAAGACATAATGAAAGATGTTCAGTCACTTTGCCTTGTGGTCGAGGAAGGGGGCATTGACTTCTCTCAGAATAGCACTAATTAATATGTGTTCTCTTTCGTTGGAGGTTCAGCTTTAGTCTTCTATTCAGCAGCTGCCTAAGAACAATATATACCGTAGAAGTGTATATATATTTTTTTTTTTTGAGAGGTTTTTGCTATAGGGCGCGTGCGCTCGCCAGACAGACAGAGACAGAGAGACAGAAAGCGAGAAATCACCCCCCAGGGGGGATGGCCACGCCGCAATCCCTTCTCCTCCATTGTCCTCTCAGGATCTTGGGCACGCATGCACACACACCCAGCGTGAGTTTAAGCCACCGGGTCCGGGACACGAACCGCGGTCGACTATGT